GTGAGTGCTATTTTGTTCTTGTGCGTGATAAACGAAAAGTGTAGCATGATAGACTGTGAATGTAGCGTGATAGACTGAAAGTGTAGCGTGATAACCTGTAAATGTAGCGTGATAAACTGTAAGTGTAGCATGATAGACTGAAAGTGTAGCGTGATAAACTATAAGTGTAGCGTGATAGACTGAAAATATAACGTGATAACTTGTAAGTGTAGCGTGATAAATTGAAAGTGTAGCGTGATAGACTAAAAGTGTGGCGTGATAAATTCAAATTGTAGCGTGATAACCTATAAGTGTAGCGTGATAAACTGTAAGCATAGCGTGATAGACTGTAAGTGTAGCGTGATAACCTGTAACTGTAGTATGATAAACTATAAGCGTAGTGTGATAAACTGTAAGCGTAGCGTGATAGACTGAAAGTGTAGCGTGATAACCTGTAAGTCTATCACTTATAGTTTATCACTCTACATTTACAATTTATCACGCTACACTTTGAATTTATCACGCTACACTTTCAGTTTATTGCAAAACGATGAAATTTCTTGTGGGGTTTAATGTAATCCGTCCCACATTTACATGGTAAGATTGTCCTCTACGGATTAGACCTGGTTTTTGCTTTGTTGAGTCTAGAAATGAGAATTTTATTGCTAGTTTTTTCAAAAAGAAATCTAAGGGTGCGTGTCATCTCCACAAAATTAGTTTTAATGGGTACTGTCTTGATCCAAAAGTTAATTTTTAGTTTGGTAATAATTGGGCCACAATTTAACTAGTTTTAAGCTAGTTCAATTTTAACTTCTAAGCTAGTTCTCTTTTGGACCACTTCCTACATGGTCCAACTCTATTCTAGTTCAGCAAAAACTAATTCAAACTCTTATCACTTTTTGGATTTTCCAAACGCATCCTAAAGATTATAGCATTCATTACAATATAATAATATATAGTGCAATATATATAAGGGAAAAGTATTCCTAAGATGAAGTCTTAGATAATCATCTAAGGACGCGGCCTAAAATCACATGATTAAGCTATATTGTGGATGATCCGCTCCGTTGAACTTGATCTACATATTCTAAAACCTCAACACACCAAGTTTGGGGTGAACCCATCGTCGTTTGACACTCCGTCGATCCATGTGAAAAGTTCTATTCATTCGAAATCGTTAAAATTAGTACGAGTGGATGAATGGTCAAACGATGACGGGTTCACCCCAAACTTGGTGTGTTGGGATTTTAGAATATGTAGATCAAGTTCAACAGAGTAGATCATCTACAATGTAGCTCAATCATGTGATTTTAAGCCGCGTCCTTAGATGATTATCTAAGACGTCACTTTAGGAACACTTCTCTCTATATATAATGATCTCATTCAATTCTGCATTAGATAATGATTAGATGAGACAACACAAATAGTGATGGATATCATCCAACTCTATGGCACCAAAGGCCATTGCTTCTTGTTAGGGGAGGGGGGAACACGAGTCGGGTCCTAAGCACCAACCGGGTCCACTGGTCCAAGCACATAATAACGATATTGTCCCCAACTTAAGCACCTTTGGGCCACAGGTGTGGGATTTTAACTTAAAAGGCATTGTTACTATGTGGAGATAATCCCCCACTTATATACCCATACTAAGTTCTACAATTTTTCCATGTGGGACTAATGGTTTGGACCAAGCATTCTCAACACTTCAGATGGTGAGTTGGGCGACTTAGGCCTTTTAAGCTGAATGAATCATGTCATGCAAATGAAATATTGAAATGCATTGGACACTTTCCAGAAAACATAGACAAAGGGTTGTTTCGTCCCAAAAATTTGTTTCTGGAATTTTGATAATTTTCAGAATTCTTCAAATCTTCAAATTCTATTTTTTTTTTAAGTTTGGTAGAACGGAAAATTAAATGTGGAGTCCACTTTTCATTCTCTCCGCAAAATTAAAATAAATATTTTCCTGATCAGGGGGGAATTTTCTTACACTTCTCTCGGCAAGCTTTCCATCACAGTACATACAAAAGTAAATTGAGGAATTTAATTATGACATAATTCTTGAAGTAGAACCCCTTTTTACATTTTTTTTAAAGAAAGAAACCCCCTTTTACATGAATAATAAAGATTTAATTTGACCATGTTTTATTTGACTAGTAAGAATTATGCGGGAGTTCTAGAAGTTAGGACAGACGCAACATAGATTTGCTACAAAAGGTAAAGTAAGTACTTAAAAAACGAGCAATATATAAAGCGTTTTCCTCCGTGAAAAAACATATTCTTTACTTTCTAAAGTAATAAGAAGCTTCTTCGAATTTCTCGCGTTGAGCCTTTTTAGTTAGCCTTGCCGTTTTGGTAAAACAACTCCATAGATCAAGATATTATTGCGTAGTTTTTAGTGGTGGACTTAAAAAACAAACGTAAGCACGCGTATAGATTCCATTTGTGAATTACTTTCAGCTAAATTTCAGACGATCTACCATATATAACGATCTACCTTAACTTAGGATGATAATCAAAAAGTCTTCTACCGTATATAACGATCTACCTTAACTTTGGATGATTATAAAAAAAAATCTTTTATTACTTTCAACATTAACTTGTGGCTGAACCACATGGGAAAAAAGTGAAGGGACTGCAGCACATGAAGATATTGCTTTTGGGGCTTTGACGCAATTTTCCCCTATAAAAAATCTTTCATTATTTTTAAAATATCAGAATCTATTTTAAGTTTGGAGCTTATTAGGAACTCTCCTAACCATGCATGTATAAACTGTAATTTTTACATGGGTGGATAAAATGACATAGACATTATTTTTCCCCAAAAAATAAAAAATAAAAAACCTTACAGTGGGTTTTGATACCGAAGAGGTTAGGTGAGGGAGGGAAGCAATTGAGATAAACTTTAATTTTGAAGTTTCTAAAATATCCACATTTGTTAAATTGCTTATCTAATATAAAATTTTCCTTAGAAATTGCTATTTACTTCTACGGGATAATGTTTTTCTAGAGAATTATAACTTCTGCTTTCATAGAAACAATGTGCAACGATTTTTCGTACGAAGAATTAGTTGACCGAAGTCGTATACTTCTTTAAGAAGAAACAAGGAAATTTTTTTTTTTTTAAAAGCAAGCTGTAAGACCAGTACATCCTATTTCTTAAAAAAAAAAAATTGCCCAGGGAAAGGTGGCAACAAATCAAGCTACTTTTGATGAAGTCAAAGTGTTTTTTGCAAAAGAAATGACCAACTCCACAAGATTATTTAAATGGATAATCAATATGGATGTAAAAACATGGATGCTTGACAAGGAAACATATAAAGTAGCCATACATTTAGGAAGAATCCAATGGTCCCTGAGATAAGTTAGAAAATAGCGATAAACTTTTATTCGGAAAACCACCACACTTTTATATTATTATAATTATGAACCCGAAAACACTATTCAAAAAGAGTTAAGTGTCGTATAGATCGATACCAAATCGAGAATTTGAAAAGTAACCACTTACTCTTAAGAATGAGGATAATTTAAAAAAAAAAAATCTCTCTCTAGAAGCCCATATGGAATTGGGATCTATTCCGTAAAATATTAAGATGAATTCACCCATTTCGCATGATAATATTCCAGAAAATTAACTAATGTAATGATGATAACAGAATGATTCTACGTGCACCATGTCAAGAATATAATATCAATACTTTTGAATTGTTCAATATTCTTTTATAGAACACTATTCATATGACAGAGTACCTTTTAACAAAATGAACAATGACACTGGATCATAATATTTTAGTCATCTATTCTGAGATGTTTACAATCTAGAATTGGTTCAGATATGTGAGTGATGTAGAAAATTTCTATGGAATATTACGATAAACCTTTTTATTGGACAATCTAACAAAGCAAGTTCATCAACTATATTTTGTAGCGTGAATGTCAATTCCCAAGCTAAGTAGATGCTCATCATGCTCACAATGGATTATAGTTGCAATCACCTCTCCTTAAGAATATCACTGGAACTTGTAAGCAATCTACAAGGTTTGCTTTGTTATCCAACAATGTTAGCTAATAACAAAGTGAGTAGTCTACAATGTTATCTATTTCTTCGCTTTTCTTCTAGAAAATGAGAAGTCTACAATGTTGCTATTTGTGGAAAATGTCCTCCGTGTGATTCAAGACTGGTGAACGTGTGGGTCTTTGACTACGGCTTGCATTTCAGAAGTTGGAAAACAATGGAACAAAGTTGGCTCTCTCTCTCTCTCTCTCTCTCTCTCTCTCTCTCTCTCTGAGAACGAAATGAAAAACAAAATACGTATAAAGAGACAGCACAGAGTATTCATATATAAGAGCATAGTGATATCATGTTTTCATTTAGCTCAATGTATGAAATTTTCAACTATGTTTCCCTTCATTTGTTAGTTTAGCACAATCAACCAAGACAACTAGGACATTTTATGTTAACTTGGCCTAAACCGACGATTATTGATAGAAATCACTACTCAATTTTCGTCGCACATGACACTAAGTCTGCTTTCCGTAGGATTATAACTTGGACCTTCATATCACTTGTTTCAGAGTTATCACATAGAACTTAGGAGTTAATTGGATCTTAATATGTTTAAAACCAAATTAACCTAAAATCTTAAGCTGTTGGAAATCTTAATATGTTATCCAAGACTCTTTTCTATTTATTCTAATTCGGGACTAAACTCTCATGATATAATCCACAAAGAGGAATATATCCAGGGACTCGAATTGTGAAAGGAGCATGTGCATTAGACATTTTTCTCAATGATATTTTCAACATTATGATATGTACATATACATGTACACATTTATGTGTATTTAAAAATATGTCTATCAACATACAAATATCACAAGTGCAGGTCTATATTAGGATACCATCTTGTAAACCTTGTTAAGCCCCTCCCCTAGTTTTTACACCCAATCACACCTCTCTTTCTCCAACCAAGAATCCTCTTCCCTCAGTCTCTTTCAACTTTCTCGCTATATAAATAACCCTCTACCCACATTTTAAGTTCTCATAAACAAATCTCTTCCTATTTTTTCACAAACTCCCCTGTTTTCCTCTGTTTTCTTCAAGCCATGGTGGTCCTTGCAAACACACCAACAGAGCAAATATCCATAATAAAACCCCAAAAAGCCCATGTTCATTTCTCCAACATCCCCATTATCGATCTCTCAAAGCCCGGTTGTGAGATAGCCATTGTCAAAGCTTTGGAAGATTTTGGTTTCTTCAAAGTAACCAACCATGGAGTGTCTAAGGAGATAATGAGTAAATTAGAAGCAGAGGCTGTTAAATTCTTTTCTCTGTCTCAAGTTGAGAAAGACAAGGCAGGGTACCCTAATCCTTGTGGATATGGGAATAAGAGGATTGGGGGTAATGGGGATTTTGGTTGGGTTGAATATCTTCTCTTTGAGATAAATTCTAAGCCCATTTCTTCAACGTCTCTTGGTTTTCTTAGAGAACATTGTGCAAGCTTGTTTTGGTAAGAAATCAATCATAAGAGTGTGTTTGGTTAGAAGTAGTTGAAGTACTACATGGGGCTGAGTATATCCAAAATTACTTAAATAATACTAAATATATTGCAACTGTTATACGGCTTCTACATTAGAAGCACGAATATCTTCTAAAACTAAAAGTAAACAGTGTAGGCTCATATCCCAATTTATGAGGAAGAAATTCACATTCTTGCGTCCTATAATATTAAATTAGTATATGATTTGTAGCATATTCTGTATTATACTATCCAATACATGATATACATCTTTTGATTTGACATTTATGTGACTCTAAAAAGAATTTGGTAAAGAAACAAAATACCTTAAAAAATATAGGAGTTGCCACTATATTCAAATTAAAAATTGTGCCAAAAAAAAAATAAATAGAAGTGTTCATTTGCAAATTGAACTTTTTCAAAACCCTGCACATGTTCTTTTTTTTTTAATTTATTTTCTTTCACGCAACAAATGGCCATTATAATGAGTATCTTTTGTTTGACTATATTAAAGCACCTCCAACCTCCCAATAATTTCTCTCCTCTCTTTTTTGATTTTTACTGCAGCTCTGCTTTGAATGAGTACATATCATCAGTAAGAAAGTTATCAAGCAATGTTCTAGAGCTAATGGCTCAAGGGTTAGGGATCAAACAAAGAGATATATTCAGCAAGCTTGTGACGAGCCAAGAAAGTGACTCAATGTTCAGGCTCAACCACTATCCTGCATGTCCCTTGCTCAAAGAGCTCAATTGCAATTTAACTGGGTTTGGGGAGCACACAGATCCACAGTTGATCTCAATATTGAGATCGAACAATACAAATGGGTTTCAGATTGCTCTCAAGGACGGAGGATGGCTCTCTGTTCCTCCTGATGAAGGCTCTTTCTTCATTAACGCCGGAGATATATTGCAGGTAGGTGCACTTCCTTTGTTTATTTTATTTGATCTTCCCGTCTCCAGTGTGATTTATAAGAGAATAAAAGTTCGCATGCATGTTGACGACATTTCATCCTTCCCCTGTTTATTTACTTTTAATTTGGCTAAATAGCACTTGGATACCTTTTAGTTTCACTTAATTTGCACTTACATACATATATACCATCACTCATTTTTCACGTCGTTAATATACGGGTAACTTATCTAAAATTGCCATCCTCAATTATTCAAACGCCAAAATTTCACCTAACTTCAGCTAATGGTATATAACTGTCGAGAAAAAAAACAAGCGAGGATATAAAAAATGCAGAGTGAGAGAAACATAGTCAGGTGCTGTTTAGCTAATTATTTCCATGAGTCTGAAAAGGCTTTTGACGATTGTTGCAGGTCTTGACAAATGGGAGGCTCAGGAGTGTGAAACACAGAGTATTGACCAATGGCTCCAAAGCCAGGGTCTCCATGATCTTTTTCGGAGGTCCCCCCCTCAATCAAATGATTACACCTCTGCCCCAACTTCTCAAGGGAGAAGAGAAGAAGTACATCGATTTCACATGGGCTGACTACAAAAAGGCTGCCTTTAAATCAAGGCTGGCTGATAACAGGCTAGCCCTTTTCGAGAGAGAAATGACTCATTAATATAACAGAGAGGATTAATACATCTCGGTTGTATCTGTAGCTTTTTCTATTTTGGGATGGTTTGTTGCTGAAAAAAAAACAGAGTCGTATTCATGCAGGTGATCAATGTTTTTGTAACCCTTTGACTAATTAAGGAAACAAAAAGGTTTTTCGTGAAAGCGTTCAAGTACCCAATTGCGAACCCAATTGCGAATAGACTCTCCGTAGGAGGGTGATTTTCTTTATTTCTTTCTTTCTTGGGAAAAATGTGTCCTGGCCCTAAAAGCGGAAACTCCATGTGATCCAACCCCTTGTATTTTGACTCATGCGATTCAGCCCCAAAAACTAGTATTTAATGTTTCAATGCCCCTTCACGTGAGCAGTACAACAAAAGAGATTGTATTTTGAAAAAAAAAACTCGAAATTACCCCTCCACTTATCTTCCCCAGACGCCTCTGGTTCCCAAAAACATGGAAAGTCGCGTCCCATTAATGCGATCTGACGAAAAAAATGAAGGGAAATTTCTCGCCCTTTTTTAAACTCTATCAGGAGCAATAACTCATATTAGTTCTAACTTATTTCATGTTAGTTCTAATTCATGTAAGAGCTAACTTTAAGTGGAACTAACATTAATACTTTAGCTACTTGGTTTAGTGGTGAAGCTTGTGAATTTGGAGAGGAGGTCAGGAGTTCAAACCCCCTGCAACTACAATATATATTTAAAGGTCTTTGATTGAGCCTTGGGGCTCTTTGTCAGTTCTAACTCATTTCATGTTGGTTCTAACTCACTTCATGTTAGTTCCAATTCATGTTAGGTTTAACTTAACTCACTAGAACTAACACTTATATTAGAAATAACACTAGCTGGAAGTAGAACTAACACGATATCAGCTAGAACTAACACAAGAACCGTTAGAACTAACATGGGCTCAACTAGAACTAATAGACCACTAGAACTAATGCTTATATTAGAAATAACACTAGCTGGAAGTTAGAACTAACATGACATCAGCTAGAACTAACACGGGAGTCACTAGGACTAACAGGGGCTCAACTAGAACTAATATCTCGTTAGAACTAACACTTATATTAGAAATAACAATAACTGAAAGTAGAACTAACATAAAATTAGCTAGAACTAATACAAGAACCACTAGAACTAACAATGGCTCAACTAGAACTAACATACAACTAGAAATAACACTAGCTGGAAGTAAAACTAACATGACATCAGCTATAACTAACACGAGAAACCGCTAGAACTAACAGGGGCTCAACTAGAATTAACATACCACTAGAACTAACACTTATATTAGAAATAACACTAATTGGAAGTTAGAACTAACATGACATCAGCTAGAACTAACACGAGAACCGCTAGAACTAACAGGGGCTCAACTAGAACTAACATACCACTAGAACTAACACTTATATTAGAAATAACACTACCTAGAAGTAGAACTAACATGAAATCAGATATAACTAACACGAGAACTACTAGAACTAATATGGACTCAAATAGAACTAACATACCACTAGAACTAACGTTTATAATAGAAATAACACTAGCTGAAAGTAGAACTAATATGAAATCAACTAAAACTAACACGAGAACCGTTAGAACTAACAGGGGCTCAACTAGAACTAACATACCACTAGAATTAACACTTATATTAGAAATAACACTATCTGAAAGTTAGAACTAATATGACATCAGCTAGAACTAACATGCGAACCACTAAAACTAACAGGGGCTCAACTAGAACTAACATATCACTAGAACTAACGCTTATATTAGAAATAACACTAGCCGGAAGTAGAACTAATACGCATAATTCTTTTTTATTATTGTTTGATGTTGTTGTCTTGTGATCTTAGTCCCAGTTAGCGCTTCGACCACGTCCACAATAAATTAAAGAAAGAATTGATAATAAAATAGCAATAACAATGATAAAAGAGGAGAGGAATTCACCTCATTTTTCATTTATAATTTTCTAAAACAATTACAAATAAAATGTTTTAAAAAAATTCCATGACAAAACAATTAATAAAAATTCAAGGTAACTAATTAAAACCTAACATGCTTGATGCATGGCGGTTCTAAGCGAATCGAGCTTTTGATTAACAACCTAGCTAGCGATTTGATTAAACTAACTAGCTCTTGACGAAGCCGTCGATAAACTTGGCCCCGACGTCCCCCTAGCCAGTTCTCAATCAGGAAGAGGGATGCCTCCTTGTTGATGGGCTCGTGCTTTTTGACCCACTCGGCCATGGGCCTGGGTCGCCGTTAGGCCCCTTGTTGTTGTACTCGGTGTAGTAGCAGGTCTAGTGGAAGTCGGCCCCATCCTAGACGGCCTTGCCCTCGAGCCTGATCATGTCCCCGATCTTCGACTCCATGACCACCGTCCTCGCCTTAGCCTTCCACGACCTCCCCAGAGCCTGATCATTTTCAATGGTCATGACGGATGTGAGAGAGAAGGAGAAGTTGAGAGATAGAGGGGTGATATATATATGATTAATGATGGAGAAATTGGGAATAAATATGGAGAGACGCAATAACCAAGTTCAATCCCATCAAAGGGGCAAGTTCGTAACTTTCATTGGGCGTTTTTTGAAATCTGATACTTTGGGGCCTCATCACAAATACTACTGTGTGTATTTGAGGCTTATCCATATGGGGTAGAATACAAAAGGCCTCGTCACATGAAGTTTCTACTTTTGGGGTCTCAACATAATTTTTCCTTCTTTTTTTTGACTCTTATAAGAGTCAAAAAGGTTTTGACGAGGCGGATAGACCCTTGTAGTTCTATTGGTGAGAATTGATCTCCAATTTCGCTAAAAAAAATTACTCTAAAAGCCAAACATCTTCATAAAGGGGAAGGGGTTCCACACTTAGCAAATACTATCAGGCATTTATACAAATAGAACCACAAATGGTCTATACGCAATTAGGTGACACTACAAGATCAATTCACTATTCCAAAGTAAATTTGGTTTGGACTTTGATTCCCTTTGATGTCTGACATGAGCATATTGATGCAAGTTTATTTATAAGAATCTATCTATATAGTGTTGTATCTTATATACAAGCCTAGAGGGGGGGATGGTGTGTTAGGTCTCATGTTTATGAGCACACTCACTAATCTTGTTTTGATGATTACAAACAATTCCTAACATTGTGCGTCGAGTGCTTGTATTTGTTTTGTTAGGTAATCTATATAAATATCTTTATTGGAGGTTAGTTGGATTGAGCCTTCATGATCACATTTAAAGGAGGTTGGTGGAATATCGGAGTGAAGCTATGCACAATTCAAGTCAAAGATTCAAGATCAAGCTTTATCCACAAACCAAGACAAGCTCATTGAAGATTCATTGCTTGGTATAGTGTTATAGTGTTTTAGGTGTTTAATCCACAAACCAAGACAAGCTCATTGAAGATTCATTGCTTGGTATAGTGTTATAGTGTTTTAGGTGTTTATACTTTGTGTGTTAATGCTTAAATCTCAGATTCATTGCTTGGTATAGTGTTATAGTGTTTTAGGTGTTTATACTTTGTGTGTTAATGCTTAAATCTCAAACAATGTTACACATATACACGTTTTTGGTTTATACCTTTCAAGTTTAAATAAATATGAACCAAATAGATATATTTATATACATACGTATATGTTTCATATTTATCATCTTTGTTTTGGAAAATGTTGTGTTTGAGGATTATAGACTTGACAATATTAGTTTATATATTTTATAAAGTCTATTAATCCATTTAAAAGAAGTTTAAAAGTTGGTTAAAATCATTTTGTCAAAATCATGTGTTTTTGAGATTTTGTATTTTGATCGATTTTGCAAAATGATGAATTTTCATAATTAGGAAGTATAATTTGAAAAGTTCTTTTTGTCACATATTCATTTTCGTGTTTATAAACATTTCTCAAAGTTTTATATTTTTTTAAAATTTCTTTGCTATTTTTAAAAGCACTTGCAATTCAATGTTCTAAAAACTGCATATATTAGTTTTCGGTCGACCGAACAATTCCTTCCGATCGACCGACCATCAATTTCCGATCGATCGAAAAGGTTCTGCCAGTTGACCCACCAGAATTAGTTTTTCTAGCTTTGTTTCTCAGGGTTTCTCAGTCGATCGACAACTTTGTTTCGGTCGACCAATGGACACCCTTCGGTCGATCGACCAGTGTCATCCGGTCGACCGAACTGATGACCATTGGAATAACAGCTAGTTTTCCAGATTTTATTATTTTGTGTTTTTTGTTAGTTTTTGCTAGTTTTTTAGGGTCCCTGTATATACCTCATACCCTCTAAACTTCTTAGATTATCCAAGAAAAGTTTTAATCAAGTTTTGGGCAAGTTTGTTTAAAAGTTTTCAAGTGTTTTAAGTTGTTTATGTGAAGATTGTTTCACAAAGAGAAGGATTCGATTTTCAACATTGAGGAAGCTCATCCTTAGCCTTTTACATCTCTTTGCTTGAGAAGTTTTCTAAACTCCTTTTTATCTAGCTTGTTCATACTTTAATTGTTTCATCTATTTGCTAGATCAATTTGAATTTAGTTTCATTGTTATTACTCACTGTTTACACACACCCACTTGAGCTTAAGTATTTTCATATATAGTATAATTAAGATTGTGTGTTTGAAACATTGAGTGTGGTCTTACATTGAGTCCTCATATATTGTAGAGAACAAATATTTTTTGTGCTTAATTGTGAGATCACTTTGTAATACACAAGTACACCGAGAGGAGTGTGTGGTTATAGACATGGTTGATACCAAGAGGAGTGGCGTCAGTAGTAAAGCCTATAAAAAGGTTATAAAACCGAGCACTTGAGGGAGGCAACACGTGAGAGGCCAACACTTGAGGTTATAGTGTGTGATTACATTGTGAGTGATTGTGAGAGTTTTCGATGAGCTAGAAAATCAAGATTATGAGGTGTAAACATTTTGGGTGAACGTTGAAAACCCGTTGTGATACTGGATTCTCCCCGGGAGTGGGAAGAGGAGACGTAAGTCAGAAGGACCGAACTCCGTGATCATATTCTATGTTTGAGTTGGCGTTACATTTGTGCTCATTATTTATTTCATTCTATTTCGCCATTGCTCATATTTATTTCACCCTTAGTTTAGT